CTGGTGGGCATTGGAGGTGTGGTGCAGGCTACAGGGCTGGTGATGATGCTGATGAGCCTCGGGGGACTCCTGGGCCCTCCCCTGTCAGGTAAGGGCAGAGTCTGGAGATTCGCTTAAGACTTCTGCCCCTGGGATGCCGGGCCTCTAAATTCCTTTATCCCTCTTCTCAGGTTTCCTAAGGGATAAGACAGGAGACTTCAGTACCTCTTTCCTGGTGTGCAGCTCTTTCATCCTCTCTGGCAGCTTCATCTACATGGGGCTGCCCAGAGCCCTCCCAACCTGCCGTCCAGTCTCACCTCCAGCTACCCCTCCCCCTGAAAGAGGGGAGCTGCTCCCAGTTGCACAGGTCTCCCTGCTCTCGGCAGGGCGCGCTGACTCCTCCCGGGATACCGCTTGTTGATAACTTTCTCATTTGAGCCCCTTCCCTAATAAAGGATTTTTATCTGACTCTGTTGAAAAACAAACAAACTAGCTGAAAACAACTGGGCCCCAGTGGCTCTGGCAGTAAGGAAGGATGCCTGTCCAGTCAGTTTTCCTTTGCTCAATCCTTGCCTTAAGAGGGTCTTTGAGAAGTTGTGAGCTAGTCATTTTCAGTTTGTTAGGGGACATATCCTAAACCCCATACTTTACATTTTTATTTATGTGGGTATGTGGAGGCCTGATCTCTTGGAGCTGGACTTACAGGCAATTGTGAGCTGCCTGGTGTGGACACCCTGAGCCAAACAGGTCACCAGGAGGAGCAGCAAGCAATCTGCTGAGCTCTCTCTACAGACCTACTTTTAAAAAGATTGACATTTATGCTATATGTGTGAAAGTTATATGTGTTATATGTGTGAAAGTTATTTGTGTGAAAGTATGCCCCATGTATATGGGTGTCCACGGAAGTCAGAAGAGGACACCAGATCCCCTGGATCCGGATTGATAGGTGGTTGTGAGGGTGGCTCTGGCCCTCTGGAAGAGCGGGAAGTGCTTTTAACTGATGAGCCTTTTTTCCAGCTCCCAAACATCATACTTCTTCTTGAATTTGATTTGCCTTTGTTAGCCTGAGAAAAACAAAAATCCACGTGGGTATGGTTGTGAGTACCTGTAATCCCAGCACTTGGGAGGAGGCCAGGTCTCAAGTTCAAGAGCAGCCTGGGCTACATGGTGAGGCTCTGTCTCAAAGTACAAGAATCTTAGGTTGCAGCTTCGGCTCCCAAGCCACCTTCCTCCACACATAGACTTTTCTCTTCGTTTTTCCCTTCTATCACAGGACTAGTGGAGAAGAGGGAGCTAAGTGGACGGGAAGGAAGAACTTGGGTCACCAGAGCTCATGGATGTCTCCACTCCTTTGTTCAGCCATGGCCCTATTAGCTGCCCCAAGAACCTGGACCTCCAGCTCTTTTTGAGGTTTCAATTATTGTCCAGTTTCCTTATTTGTTTTATATCCAAGGAACACCAGAAACCACATATAAAACATGAGAAGACTCTTGGGCTTTGATTCTCAGATTTGATTCAGAACTCAGTGGGCTGAGATCTCCTGGAGCCTTCAGAAAAGCTTGGGAGAACAAAGGAGATGATATAAGAGTCATCAACAAAATACAAAGGGTTGGCACATAAATCGCAGGAACCCCAGGTCTGCTGGTGGAGGCAGATCAAGAATCCTAAGGCACTATGCTTCTGTGGACGCATGCCTTGATGGGGCAGAAGACCTGGTGCTGTCAAGCTTTGGCTTTCCATGACCACTGCCCCCTGGGGGAGTTCAGTCTTCTCCCAAGCCCTCCTTCTTGGGCAGGGGAATTTTGGTATCCAGTGGCTCTATTACAAGGTCCTTGGGTCTGGAGGTAGAAGCTGAGATGCAGGAGAAGAAATGGGGCAAAGTGTTAAGAACTCCACTTCCAGCAAGAAGGAAGGCCCCAGCCACCATAAAAGAAGCTGTGTAGTTGCCTGTCACATCCCGGAGGTAGCCTGGGTCCAAGAGAGAAAAAGAAACACAGATGGGTGATCTGCTAATGGATTAGATTGGTTTGGGGGCAAAGGAAGACCCACTGTCTTAGAAGAGATGCACTTCCCAAGGTAGGACTGAATGAATGTGAAACTCTAGCTGCTTAAACAGCCTCAAAAGACCATTTCAGCTACCACCCTCCCTGTAGGACCTCCAGACCAGCCTGTAGGGATTTGGTGAGCTATAGTAAGTCAAGCATAACTGTGTGTTTTGTCCTGGCAACAGTGGCCCTTCTAGTCCTTCAGTTAATAGTTAAGAGGAAGGTGTTTAAAGATCAGAAGGTTCTGGCATCTTGAGCATGGAGAACTTTAACCAGATGTTTCGGACATTTGGGAGGAGCCCAGTGGGCCAAAGAAAAAAGAAAAAAAGACAATGTTAAGTCAAGCTAGGTCTTCTAAAAACTCAGCCTGCAGTTTCACCGGGGTCCTCTTTGTCTTTCCACTGAGACCTTCTTAGACCCAAGTTCTGTCCTCCTGTGAACCACCTCAGGACTATTGTGACTGGCTATGCGGGCTGTACAGGACAACATACTAGAGTGCAGTATTAACATATACCAGAGTGGGAACAGTTCCTTCCTCCAATTATGCAACATGACATCCCTGGCCCAGTTGGCATCCCCACTTTGCTTACCTGATAGAGGAGCTCCCAATAGCCCCCCGATGCTCTCTATCATCTGCACCAGTCCCAGGCCACAGTAAATCCTTCCAGTCCCCACCAGTTCAGGAAGCACGGAGAAGGCCACTGGGGTCAGGGCCCCTGATGTGAAGCCAGAGGCCACAGCCAGAACCACCAGGGTTGTGGGAGCCTGCGCCACAGGGAACAGGGCTAATGACACCCCAGTCAGGGTTGTCCAAAGCATCAGCAGACGTGCCACAGGTCCCGGAACTGCATCCCCCAGCCAACCAGATCCCACACGGCCTATGAGGTCAGAAATGGCAGCCACTGATAGTAGGAAGGAAGCAGGCAGCGGGTCCCAACCCAGGTCCTGCAAATGGGCCACCAGATGGACGTAGGGAATGAAGTAACCGGTGTTAATCAGAGTGAGGGCAATAGTGTAACGGAGGAAGGGGCCATGATGGAAGAGGGAGGTGAGCTGGGCCCCAGGGCCACCCACAGAAGTGTCTTCAGTCAGGGAGAGTGGGCGGAGTAGAGCACCACAGGCCATCAGATGTAGGGAGAGGGCAGAAACTAGCAAGAGGGCGCCCCTCCAGGCATAGTTGCTGATTAGCCACTGGAAGAGGGGGGCAAATGCAAAAGAGGAGAGGCCCACTCCAGTCAACGACAGTCCCATGGCCAGAGAGCGACGTCGGGAGAAGTAACGGGAGAGGCAGGCCAGGGGCGGAGAGAAGGGCAGGGGCCAACCAGAGGCTGTCAAAAAGAAAAAACAGGGAGCGGGTCGGGGACTTGTGGAGTGAAGGTCAGGGCCCAGCCAGAGCCTGTCCAAAAGAAAAACAGGGAGCGGGTCAGGGACCTGTGGACTTTGGAGGTGCTCAGAACACCCAGTAACCCCAACACTGCCTAGCAGAAGATCAGGCCCTGCTTTGGCCTCCCAAAGACTTAGGTTATTTTAGGGCTGGCTTTGATACTTTCTAGCTGTGTGACCTTGCATGTTCTGCTTACTCTACCAGGCTCATTTACCTCATCTGCAAAATGGGGTTAACACACTTTATGGCAGAGGTTCTCAACCTTCCTAATGCTGTGACCACCCAATCCAGTTCCTCATGTTGTGGTGACCCCCAACCATAAATTATTTTCATTGCTACTTCATAACTGTAATTTTGCTACTGTTATGAATTGTAATATAGATATCTGATATGCAGGATATCTGAATGCGACCCCTGTGAAAGGGTCATTCAACTCCCACAAGGACACACGACTGACAGGTTGAGAACCTCTGCTTTATGGAATCTGGGAAGACGAGAGACAGCAGTCTTAAAATAACTAAAACAGAACTTTGGAATTGGAGCCCCATCTCTACCGTTTCTGGCTGCATTAATCTTCCTTTGCCCAGGTGTATAAACATCGATAAACACTGAAAGCCTTATTATTTTTTAAATAGGCCAATGATATCTATTTCAGTTGATACCTAGCACAATCTTAAAGAAATTTTCCCTCTACACTCCTGTCCGATGGGTTTGGGCTTGTATTTTCTGGATTCATTATCTCTGATATAGTCATCTAGTTAAAGAATTCCCTTCAGGGCACAGGTTCTCCCTAAGCCTTTTTGGAAAGAGTTGGAAGGTGACAATCCAGAGGCTTAAGATCCAGGCCTTGGACTTCTGCCCTTGCCCAGGGTCTCACCTGACAGCAGCCCAATACTCAGGTATAGGTGGGTCAAGGAGGTAACAAAAAAAGCAAGCAGCATCCCCAGCGCAGCCAAGATGCCCCCAGTCATCACCACAGGCCTGGGCCCCAACTTCGTGCTCAGGGCACTGCCTATTGGGCCTAGGGAATTGGAAGGGGTTCTGC